GGGGGTTTTGTGGCGATTTTGGGTGGTTTTGTGAGGATTTGAGAGGTTTTTGTGAGGATTTGCGATGGTTTGGGGTGTTTTCGTCACGGCCCTGCCGAGGGGGGGGGCGGAGAAAAATGGGGTGTTTGTGAGAGGAATTTGGGGGGGCAGAGGCCTGAGGGGGGGGAACAGGATTTTTGGGGTGTTTTGTGAGGATTTTGGGGGTTTTGTGGCGATTTGAGAAGTTTTTGGGTGGATTCGGGATGGTTTGGGGTGTTGTCGTCACGGCCCTGCCGGGGGGGGGCAGAAAAAATGGGGGGAGAGGGAGTTCCTGGGTCCTGGAACCTGCTCTTGGCCACCAGAAGGTCCATGGAGGTTCCTCAGAGGGTCCCTAGAAGGTCCCTGGACGATGTGGGGGGGCTTCTCCTGGGGCAGGAGACGTAGTTATGGGTCCGACCTCTTCTTGGGGGGGGGTTCCTAAGTTGAACCCCCACCCTGTGACCCCCCCCCAGGCTGGGTGAGATGGTGAAGGTGCCCCAGAGAGTCCATTGAGGTTCCTCAGAGGGTCCCCAGAAGGTCCCTGGAGGTCAGGGCTGGTTTCCTCTGGCCCTTTCTGGGGCGGGAGACGTAGTTATGGGTCCAACCTCTTCTTGGGGGGGGGTTCCTCAGCTGAACCCCAACCCTGTGACCCCCCCCCAGGCTGGGCGAGATGGTGATGGTGCCCCAGAGAGTCCATTGAGGTTCCTCAGAGGGTCCCCAGAAGGTCCCCAGAGGTCATGGCTGGTTTCCTCTGGCCCTTCCTGGGGCAGGAGACGTAGTTATGGGTTCTACCTCTTCTTGGGGGGGTTCCTCAGCTGATTCCCCCCCTGCAGAGAGTCCATTGAGGTTCCTCAGAAGGTCCCCAGAAGGTCCCTGGAGGTCAGGGCTGGTTTCCTCTGGCCCTTTCTGGGGCGGGAGATGTGGTTATGGGTTCTACCTCTTCTTGGGGGGGGTTCCACAGCTGATTCCCACTCCCCCCACCCCCAGGCTGGGCGAGATGGTGAAGCTTTTCATCGGGAACCTGCCGCGGGAGGCGACGGAGCAGGAGATCCGCTCCCTCTTCGAACAGTACGGGAAGGTTTTGGAGTGCGACATCATCAAAAACTACGGCTTCGTCCACATCGAGGACAAGACGGCGGCCGAGGACGCCATCAGGAACCTCCACCACCATAAGCTCCACGGGGTGTGCATCAACGTGGAGGCCAGCAAGAACAAGAGCAAAGCTTCTACCAAACTCCACGTGGGCAACATCAGCCCGGCTTGTACCAATTTGGAGCTCCGAGCCAAATTCGAAGAGTATGGCCCCGTCATCGAATGCGACATCGTTAAGGATTACGCCTTCGTCCACATGGAGAGGGCGGAGGACGCCGTGGAGGCCATCCGGGGTTTGGACAACACCGAGTTTCAAGGTGACGCCGGCGTCTCGGGGTGTTGGGAACTGGGTGGGGTTGGGTTTTATGGTGGGTTTTCTTTGGAGGGGTGGGGAGGGAGAGGTTTTGGAGGGATTTTTGAGGGGTGTCTGTTGGGTTTTCCCCCATAATTAGAAGTTTGAAGGTGCCATCAGGCTCCGGTGGCGAAGGTAGTTGGGTTTTTTGACCATTCCAGGTCAACAAGGGCCATCTTCGTTGAGTTTTTGGACCATCCCAGTTCAACCAGGACCATCTGGTTGGGTTTTTTGACTCTTCCAGGTCAACAAGGGCCATTTTGGTTGAGTTTTGGACCATCCCAGTTCAACCAGTACCGTTTTGGTTGGATTTTTGACTTTTCCAGGTCAACAAAGACCATTTTCCTTGAGTTTTTGACCATTCCAGTTCAACCAGTACCAGGTGGTTGGGTTTTTTGACCATTCCAGGTCAACAAGGGCCATTTTCGTTGAGTTTTTGGACCATCCCAGTTCAACCAGGACCATCTGGTTGGGTTTTTTGATACTTCCAGCTCAACCAGTGCCATTTTGGTTGGGTTTTTGACCATTCCAGCTCAACCAGGACCATCTGGTTGGGTTTTTGGACCATCCCAGTTCAACCAGTACAGTTTTGGTTGGGTTTTTGCTCAACAAGGGCCCCTGTGGTTGGGTTTTTTGACCATTCCAGGTCAACAAGGGCCATTTTCGTTGAGTTTTTGGACCATCCCAGTTCAACCAGGACCATCTGGTTGGGTTTTTTGATACTTCCAGCTCAACCAGTGCCATTTTGGTTGGGTTTTTGACCATCTTACTTCAACCGGGACCATCTGGTTGGGTTTTTGGACCATCCCAGTTCAACCAGTACAGTTTTGGTTGGGTTTTTGCTCAACAAGGGCCCCTGTGGTTGGGTTTTTTGACCATTCCAGGTCAACAAGGGCCATTTTGGTTGGGTTTTTAACCATTCCAGCTCAACCAGTACCATCTGGTTGGGTTTTTTGATACTTCCAGCTCAACTAGTGCCATTTTGGTTGGGTTTTTGACCATTCCAGGTCAACAAGGGCCATTTTTGTTGAGTTTTTGGACCATTCCAGTTCAACCAGTACCATCTGGTTGGGTTTTTTGATACTTCCAGCTCAACTAGTGCCATTTTGGTTGGGTTTTTGACCATTCCAGGTCAACAAGGGCCATTTTGGTTGGGTTTTTAACCATCCCAGCTCAACCAGTACCATCTGGTTGGGTTTTTTGATACTTCCAGCTCAACTAGTGCCATTTTGGTTGGGTTTTTGACCATTCCAGGTCAACAAGGGCCATTTTTGTTGAGTTTTTGGACCATTCCAGTTCAACCAGTACCATCTGGTTGGGTTTTTGACTCTTCCAGGTCAACGAGGCCCATTTTGGTTGGTTTTTTTTGACTCTTCCAGCCCAACCGATGCCACTTCAGTTGGGTTTTTGACTCTTCCAGCTCAACGAGGCCCATTTTGGTTGGTTTTTTTTGACTCTTCCAGCCCAACCGATGCCACTTCAGTTGGGTTTTTGACTCTTCCAGCTCAACGAGGGCCATTTTGGTTGGTTTTTTTGACCCTTCCAGCTCAACCAGTTCCATTTTGGTTGAGTTTCTGCTCAACGAGGGCCATTTTGGTTGAATTTTTGACTCTTCCAGCCCAACCAGTGCCACTTCAGTTGGGTTTTGACTCTTCCAACTCAACGAGGGCCATCTCAGTTGAGTTTTTTTGACCCTTCCAGCCCAACCAGTGCCATTTTGGTTGAATTTTTGACCCTTCCAGCCCAACCAGTGCCATTTCAGTTGGGTTTTTTGACCCTTCCAGCTCAACCAGTTCCATTTTGGTTGAGTTTCTGCTCAACGAGGGCCATTTTGGTTGAATTTTTGACTCTTCCAGCCCAACCAGTGCCATTTCAGTTGGGTTTTTTGACCCTTCCAGCTCAACGAGGGCCATCTCAGTTGGGTTTTTGACTCTTCCAGCCCAACCAGTGCCACTTCAGTTGGGTTTTGACTCTTCCAACTCAACGAGGGCCATCTCAGTTGAGTTTTTTTGACCCTTCCAGCCCAACCAGTGCCATTTTGGTTGAATTTTTGACCCTTCCAGCCCAACCAGTGCCATTTTGTTGGTTTTTTGACCCTTCCAGGTCAACAAGAGCCATTTTGGTTGTTTTTTTTGACCCTTCCAGCTCAACCAATTCCATTTTGGTTGAGTTTCTGCTCAACGAGGGCCATTTTGGTTGGGTTTTTTGACTCTTCCAGCCCCACCAGTGCCACTCTGGTTGGGTTTTGACTCTTCCAACTCAACGAGGGCCATCTCAGTTGGGTTTTTTGACCCTTCCAGCTCAACGAGTACCATTTCCATTGGGTTTTCCACCCTTCCAGCTCTACCCAACGCCGGACCGTGACGGCCCCTTCGCCGTTTGCCGGCGCCAGGGCGATAAAAGGGGGGGGGATTTAGGGGGAGGTGTTTGGAGGACGGGACTGATCCATCTTTGACTTAACCCAGCAACGGCCGCACGCCCCCCCAGCAGGAGGATCTCGACGGTGAAGCCCCAACTCTTGTGCCGAAAGCCGCTGCCGGGCTGTGCCGCCGGCGCGGCGTGAAGCCAGGCTTCCTCCTGCCTGGTAAGAGGTTGAGCCGGAGGCGCCGCATCCCCGCGCCGGCCCGCGTCCTCGCCGGCGGCGTCGCTCGCTCGGGCTCTTTCCCGTTTTGCCGCTTTTCCGCACCAAAAACAAACAAAAAACCCACACAAACCCCCCCGAAAACGACACAACGACGAACCGCGGCGCGGGGCGCTTTTTCTTTTTTTTTGTTGTTGTTGTTTTTTGGTGTCATTTTTCTTTTTTTTTTAAGTTTTTTGGGGTTTTTTATTTTTTTTAAATGCTTTTTTCCAAACTTCCTTCTCGTCGCCGCGGATTTCCAGCTCCGGACTCTCTCGGTGTTTTGGGTTTTTTTTTGGTTTTTTTTTTGGTTTTTTTTTTGGTTTTTTTTTTTTTGATTCGGTGCCGGATCTTCTAGTTCTTCACCCCAAAAAAAAAATATTTCTCTCGCCGGTTTCTTCGCTTTTGGGGGGATTCGCTCGCCCCCCCACACCCCCTTTTTTCCGGCGTTTTCACCCCAAAAAACCAACCGAACGCAAACTCTTCTCCGGTCGTTGCCGCGGGCGGTGAATCCGGCCTCGTTATCCCGACGCCGCGGAAGCGTTTTCCGGCGGGAAGCTTTGCCGTTGAGAACGGGGGCTAACGGTTGCCGGTGGCAAGCTGCGCGCCGCTGGAGTTGCCGCTGGGCTGATTGGTCGGAATCCAGCCCGGGACAAGCTGGAGGGCTTGGTAGCCAACGGGGCTACCGTTGGTCGGTTGAGTTGCTAGAGCCCAGCCCGGTGATCTGCGGGGTTACCGGTTGCCCGTGTGGCCAGTTGAGTTGCCAGAGTCCAACCCGGTGATCCCTGGAATCCAGCCCGGGACAAGCTGGAGGGCTTGGTAGCCAACGGGGCTACCGTTGGTCGGTTGAGTTGCTAGAGCCCAGCCCGGTGATCTGCGGGGTTACCGGTTGCCCGTGTGGCCAGTTGAGTTGCCAGAGTCCAACCCGGTGATCCCTGGGGCTACCAGTGGCCGGTTGAGTTGCCAGAGTCTGGTCTGGTGATCCTTGGGGCTACCAGTGGCCCGTTGAGTTGCCAGAGGCCAGCTTGGTAGCCCACGGGGCTACCGTTGGTCAGTTGAGTCCAGAGGCCAGCCTGGTGATCCTGGGGGCTACTGGTGGCCAGTTGAGTTGCCTGGCCCTGACCTGGCCCAGGTAGCCCTTGGTGATCCCTGGGGGCTACCGGTGGCCGGTTGAGTTGCCAGAGGCCAGCTTGGTAGCCCACGGGGCTACCGGTGGTCGGTTGAGTTGCCAGAGTGGCCTGGTGATCCTGGGGGCTACCAGTGGCCAGTTGAGTTGCCAGAGGCCAGCTTGGTAGCCCACGGGGCTACTGTTGGTCGGTTGAGTTGCCAGAGCCCAGCTTGGTGATCTGCAGGGCTACTGGTTGCCGGTGCGGCCAGTTGAGTTGCCAGAGCCCAGACTGGTGATCCATGGGGCTACTGGTGGCCAGCGTGACCAGTTGAGTTGCCAGAGGCCAGACTGGTGATCCCTGGGGCTACTGGTTGCCGGTGTGGCCAGTTGAGTTGCCAGAGTCCAGCCCGGTGATCCTGGGGGCTACTGGTGGCCGGTGTGACCAGTTGAGTTGCCAGAGTCCAACTCCATGATCCCTGGGGCTACCGTTGGTCGGTTGAGTTGCCAGAGTGGCCTGGTGATCTTGGGGGCTACCAGTGGCCGGTTGAGTTGCCAGAGGCCAGCTTGGTAGCCCACGGGGCTACCGTTGGTCGGTTGAGTTGCTAGAGTCCAACCCCATGATCCCTGGGGCTACTGGTGGCCAGTTGAGTTGCCAGAGCCCAGCCTGGTGATCCCTGGGCTACTGGTGGCCAGCGTGACCAGTTGAGTTGCCTGGCCTTGGCCAGCCCCAGGTAGCCCTTGGCCATCCCTGTGGCTACCAGTTGAGTTGGTAGACCTTGACCTGGCCCAGGTAGCCCTTGGTGATCCCTATGGCCACCACTTGAGTAGCCACAACCCGCTGTGCCCGAGGTAGCCCTTAGTGATCTCTGTGGCCACCAGTTGAGTTGGTAGCCCTTGACCTGCCCCAGGTAGCCCTTGGTGATCCCTGTGGCCACCACTTGAGTTGGTAAACCTTGGCCATCCCTGTGGCTACCACTTGAGTTGGCAGAGCCTGGCCTAGCCCAGGTAGCCCTTGGTGATCCCTATGGCCACCAGTTGAGTTGGTAGCCCTTGACCTGCCCCAGGTAGCCCTTGGTGATCCCTATGGCCACCAGTTGAGTTGGTAGCCCTTGACCTGCCCCAGGTAGCCCTTGGTGATCCCTATGGCCACCAGTTGAGTTGGTAGCCCTTGACCTGCCCCAGGTAGCCCTTGGTGATCCCTATGGCCACCAGTTGAGTTGGTAGCCCTTGACCTGCCCCAGGTAGCCCTTGGTGATCCCTATGGCCACCAGTTGAGTTGGTAGCCCTTGACCTGCCCCAGGTAGCCCTTGGTGATCCCTGTGGCCACCAGTTGAGTTGGTAGCCCTTGACCTGCCCCAGGTAGCCCTTGGAGATCCCTGTGGCCACCACTTGAGTTGGTAGCCCTTGGTGATCCCTGTGGCCACCAGTTGAGTTGGTAGCCCTTGACCTCCCCCAGGTAGCCCTCGGCGATCCCTCTGGCCACCACTTGAGTTACCTGGCCCTGGCTTAGCCCAGGTAGCCCTTGGTGATCCCTGTGGCCACCAGTTGAGTTGGTAGCCCTTGGCCATCCCTGTGGCTACCAGTTGAGTTGGTAGCCCTTGGCCATCCCTGTGGCTACCAGTTGAGTTGGTAGCCCTCGACCTTCCCCAGGTAGCCCTTGGTGATCCCTGTGGCCACCACTTGAGTTACCTGGCCCAAGTAGCCCTTGGTGATCCCTATGGCCACCAGTTGACTTGGTAGCCCTCAACCTTCCCCAGGTAGCCCTCGGTGATCCCTCTGGCCACCCCTTGAGTAGCCACAACCCGTTGTGCCTGAGGTAGACCTTGGCCATCCCTATGGCCACCAGTTGAGTTGGTAGCCCTCAACCTCCCCCAGGTAGCCCTTGGTGATCCCTATGGCTACCAGTTGAGTTGGTAGCCCTTGACCTGCCCCAGGTAGCCCTTGGTGATCCCTGTGGCCACCACTTGAGTTACCTGGCCCAAGTAGCCCTTGGTGATCCCTATGGCCACCAGTTGACTTGGTAGCCCTCAACCTTCCCCAGGTAGCCCTCGGTGATCCCTCTGGCCACCCCTTGAGTAGCCACAACCCGTTGTGCCTGAGGTAGACCTTGGCCATCCCTATGGCCACCAGTTGAGTTGGTAGCCCTCAACCTCCCCCAGGTAGCCCTTGGTGATCCCTATGGCTACCAGTTGAGTTGGTAGCCCTTGACCTGCCCCAGGTAGCCCTTGGTGATCCCTGTGGCCACCACTTGAGTTACCTGGCCCTGGGCTGGCCCAGGTAGCCCTTGGTGATCCCTGTGGCCACCAGTTGAGTTGCTTGGCCCAAGTAGCCATTGGTGATCCCTGTGGCCACCACTTGAGTTACCTGGCCCAAGTAGCCCTTGGTGATCCCTATGGCCACCAGTTGACTTGGTAGCCCTCAACCTTCCCCAGGTAGCCCTCGGTGATCCCTCTGGCCACCCCTTGAGTAGCCACAACCCGTTGTGCCTGAGGTAGACCTTGGCCATCCCTATGGCTACCAGTTGAGTTGGTAGACCTCGACCTGCCCCAGGTAGCCCTCGGCGATCCCTCTGGCCACCACTTGACTTGGTAGCCCTTGACCTTCCCCAGGTAGCCCTGGGCGATCCCTCTGGCCACCAGTTGAGTAGCCACAACCCCATTGTACCCGAGGTAGACCTGGCAGCTCGCCGGGCTGGGCTCCCAGTTGGCCGGGCCGTTGGGAGGTGCTGGTTTGGGAGGTCAAAGGTTGGGTTGGGGGGGACACCAACCACGATGGCTAGTGGTAGCCACGTCTTGACGGGTCCTCCCCTCCCCCC